TCACAGTCCTGACTCTTCTGCGACATGATGAGTCTTGGCGACCAGAAGGAGGATGGCTGATGGTTGCCCGTGGTGGTTGACTTCTTGACTCCTGGTGGCACCTGGGAGCTTCCTCGTCCTGCTCAGATGTGGCTCCCTCTGCTGTTCAACTTCCACTCCACCTTCCTGAGGTCGTGCTTGCGGGGCAGGTAAGTTTCAGGTCCTTGGCTGTGACCAGAAGAGAGGTGCCTAGGGAGTCTTTTGTGGCCAAGAGGTCAGAAGTCACACAGGAACAGAAAGCACTCTCAGGGTATATTCAAAGTAGTGGAATAGCTGGGTCATATGGAATTTCTATGTTTAGCTTTTTGAGGACATGCCAAACTGCCTTCCAGAACGGTTGCACCATTTTACAATCTCACAACAATGTATAAGAATTCATATCTCTCCACATCCTCTCCAACATTTATTACTTGCTGCCCTGTTAAACTTTGCCACTGTTACTGGAGTGAGATGGTATCTCATTATGGTTTTGATTTGTATCTCTCTTATTGCCAGCGATTTGGACCATTTCTTCATACGTCTGCTGGCTATTCGAGTATCTTCCTCTGTGAAAATTCTTTCCACGTCTTTTGCCCATTTTATAATTAGATTATCAGTCTTTTTCTTGTGAAGGCCCAGGACTATTCTGTACACTTTTATTATGAGACTCTTCTCTGAGATGGTATTACCAAATGTTTGTTCCCAGTCGGTAGGTTTTCTTTCCACCCTGTTGGAAAAAGTTTTTGATGGGCAGAGGGATTTAATCTTTAGAAGGTCCAGTACATCAATTTTATCCTCTCTGGATTGTGCATTTCTGGCTGGATTTGGCAGCCTCTTTATACCACAGACTAGGCCTTCTAAGCTTGGTCCCAGTTTGTCTCTTATGAACGTTATGGTTTTGGGTTTTATTCCCAGGTCTCTGATCCACCTTGAGTTGATTTTTGTGTATGGTGTGAAATGTGGATCCTGTTTCCGCTTTCTGAAGGTAGCAGTCCAGTTTTTTCCAGCACAATTTGTTGAAGAGGTTGTTATTTACCCATTTGATAAGTTTTATTTCCTTGTTGAGTATCAGTTGATCACAGATAGCTTCACACAGGAGCAATGATTTTGTAAATTACTACCTAAACTTGAGAGGGACCAGAGAGCATTATGTTGAGTGAATTAATTCAGTTCCATAAGGACAAATACTGTATAAAACTATTTTATAGAATAAGTATGAGGATCCAAGGCGGGGGAGGGTGGAAACAGGGGGATGTGGATGGGGGAGAGGGGTTAAACATAGGGTCATACCATTTGGTAGGTGAGAGGCAGTGAAGGAAATGGGAAAGATCTGGTGAGAAAAACGATGTTTTCAAACTTTGTAAACGAACTAGTATACAATAAAAATAAAATAAATGATAAAGAAGTACCATATGAACAGGAGCCAATGGTAATGGAGGAGGAACTTGAAGCTGCATTGAAGGCATTGGGGGGGAATAAGGCCCCTGGAGTCAGTGGGATCCCAATTGACTTGTTTCAACTAACAGATGAAGCCCTGGATGGGCTTCCAGTCTGTGCCAGGAAATTTGGAGGACAGTTGTCTGGCCAACAGATTGGAAGAGGTTCATATTTGTTCCCATTCCCAAGAAAAGTGCCAACAGAATTTGGAAAGTATCTAACGATATCATTAATACCACATGCAAGCGAAATACTACTGAAGATCATTTAAAAATGGCTAGAAGAGTACATAGATAGGGAACAGTCAGAAGTTCAAGTAGGATTTAGAAGAGGCTGTGGCACTAGGAATATCATTGCTGATGACAGATGGATCCTGGGTGAAAGTAAAGAATACCAGAAGAATGTCTGTTTGTGCTTTATTGACTTTGCAAAAGCATTTGACTGTGTGGATCAGAACAAATTGTGGCTGACATTGAGAAGGATGGGAATCCCAGAGCACTTGATTGTGCTCAGGGGAACCTATACCTGGACCAGGAGGCTGTTGTTTGAACAGAGTGGGAGAACACCGCCTGGTTTAAAATTAAGAAAGGAGTGTGTCAGGGTTGTATTCTCTCTCCATATCTATTTAATTTGTATGCTGAGCAAATTATTCAAGAAGCTGGACTCTATGAAGAGGAGTGTGGCCTCAGGATTGGAGGGAGACTCATCAATAATCTGTGTTATGCAGATGATACAAACTTGCTTGCTTAAAGTGAAGAGGACTTGAAGCACCTGTTGCAAAAGATGAAGGAATGCAGCCTTTGGGATGGATTACATCTCAGTGTCAAGAAAACAAAGTTTCTTACCAATGGACCAATAGACAGTGTCATGATGGATGGAGAGGAGATTGAAACTGTCAACAACTTCATCTTACCTGGCTCCACAGCAGTCAGGAAATAAAGAGACACATACACTGGGAAAGCCTGCAGTTAGGCACCTCTCCAAATTATTGAGGAGCAGTGATGTTAGTTTGAAGACTCAAGTGCATGTGATTCAGGCCATGGTCTTTCCAATCACTTGCTTTGTATCTGAGAGCTGGACAATGAAAAGAATGACAGGTGAAGAAAACTGATGCCTTTGAGCTGTGATGGAGAAAAATAGTGAACATTTCGTGGAATGACAAAAGAACAAGCAAGTGAGTCTTGAGAAAGTGCAGCCAGAGTGCCCTTTGGAGACAAAGATGATAAAGGTTTGTCTCACATCCTTTGTGCATGTGGCTAGGAGGGGCTATTTTTTGGAGAGGCGCGTGATGCTGGGAAGAGTGGAGGGTCCGTGAAGGAGAGGAAGACCCTCAACCAGGTGGACTGACATGGTGACCCGCAATGGGCCCTAGTGTGTCAGGAAGTGTGAGGATGGTGCAGGACAGGACAGGGCTCAGAGCTGCTGTTCATAAGGTCACTATAAGTGGTACTTGATGGCACTTTCCAACAACATGTTGGCAGGTTGAGGGAGTCACAGCAGTTTCAGGGGCCTGGGGCATTTTCCATTATTTCAGCACTCCCTGTTTTCTCTCCTGGGTGGGTAATAAAACCGTGTTTACGGGAAAGCCTTAATCAGGTTAGTTTCTGTTTCCTGGAATACAGGGAAGGATTTGTGTAGGGCCAGAAGGTCAGCAAATGGGAGCCTTTGGCCTCAACCTTATAGTGACACACACCGTCTGTGGCCAGCTGAGCAGGACACCAGAGTCCCCGATGATGGTCCGGTGTGGGCCTGGCAGGATGTGTGTTCAGTCCCTTCATCTAAACACAGGGATTCCCCTGGGGACAGCCTAACTCCCCGGGAGGCCCACGGGGCAGGCGGACTCGGGAACGCCCCTCCCAGGACAGCCTGGGACCCCCTCTGCGGGGCAGGTACCCCCGCGGCGGAGGCGGAGGCTGTCGGGAAGGCGCGCCAGCGGCCCGCAGGTTCGGGACGGGCGGGTGGCAGCGGGCGCACCCGCGGAGGCGCTGGCGAGTCCGGGGGCGCGGAGCAGGGCGCGTGCGCGGGACGAGGGGCGCGACCTTCCTGGAAAGCACTTGGCCGCAGGTGGCGATGGGCGGATGCTCGCGCCCTTTGATACGGGAATTGCACTCGGCTTTCCCGGGAGGGCGCGCCCGCCGGGAAGCCCCCGGCCCCGCATTCCCGGTCGTCCCGGGACCCCAGCGCGCCAGGCCTTCCTGCGGCGACCCCCTGTGCGAGGGGTGTGCGCCCACCTGCCGGAAGGCCTGGCCGGCGCTTTCCTGTTTTGTTCTCTGCTTGACTCAGCGGAAGGAGAGGCGGGAGCACCCCACGATCGGGGCAGAGCTTGTCCACCCCCTCTTCCCAGCCTTGGAGATGTCACAGTCACGGGGACGTCTCCTCCCGCAGCCGGGAATGAATGAGAACCTTACCTGTCCCCAGGGGTCACACAGGGCGCGCACAGCCCCTGAGGTCCGCCCAGACTGACCACTGCCAGCGGGCAGGACTCCGCCCAGGGGTGAGGGCCCCTCGGAACCAGTGCCTCAGGACGAGGGCCCCCCTCGAAGAGCCCATCAGCTCACTCAGCTGCTGAGGGGACAACAGTGCGCCTTGTGCAGCCGCCTGGCTTGGGGGTGCTGGTGTGCCAGCCCCGGGCGTCTCCGGCAGAGGCTGCCACTGCCCCCACCCAGGACGAGATTGTCCATTCATACTGAGCCTGGCTATTAATAGCCCGCTGTCCCCTACTATCCCTTCCCACAGGCCGGTCGCACCCGCTGCCTGGTGTACACACGATTGTCCCCCCTCACACACATGCCAGATTCAGGCCTCTGTCCCCCATTCGCCCTCATCCGGCTTCCCTGCAGGTCAAGGTGCGCCCCTCCAGGTGGCCGGGGCTGCTTCCCCTGCTGTGCCAAGACCAGCGGGCCCACGGACTGGCGGTCTCTCCACTGTGGCTCCAGCGGGCCCCTTATCAGGGTTCAGGCTCCTCTCAGGACACGTGCGCGCGCGCGCACACACACACACACACACACGTGAGGTGGCAACACAGAAGCCCATGTATCAAGGGCCTCATTGCAGAGGTGGCCCAGGAAGCCCTTCTTAGAGTGACAGGGCCCCTAAGGCCCCTCTTACCCTTTGACTGGCCCCTGTGATCATTGATGATGGCACAGGACTGAGCTGGGGGCTTGTGACTGTGCAGAGCACAGAAAAGGAAAACATCCCTGTTTACGGAAGAGGCATGTCTGTGGGCCGGCCGCCTTCCTGCCCACAGAGACCCTTTGTTGGGAAAACAGGAAGCAAAGATTCCCAGGAGCCATCAGGCCACCCGCTGGCCACCCGCCCCACTTCCGCTGATTCTCACAGCCTCTGCCACCAGCTGCCCATCCACCCGTCTGCTCTATCCATCTGTCTGGGGGCAGGGCTAGGGGTGTAGAGGTGAGGGACAGGAAGGGGCAGGGGGGCAGGGGGGCAGGGGCAGGGGTGCAGAGACAGGTGAGCAGGGGCAGGGGTGTAGGGGCAGAGGTGCAATGGCAGGAGTGTTGGGGTGCAGAGGCAAGGGCTGGGGCAGCTGTAGCAACCAGAGGCCCCAGAATGCACTGATCCTTGCAGTGGGTTGGTGAGCACTGTGTCCCAGGTGCTGAGGCCAATGACTGGCCCTGAGACCCCATGCTGCTCACCAGCTGCACCTACAGCCTGCAGGTGGACACTGACTCCCACGTGCACACACAGCCATGCATACAATCAGACCACACACGCATGCGGTGGACATGGACACCTCCACACTCACACAGGTACACACGTACAGGCACGCACACCTAGATGTACACGTGTTCTCACACAGGTACATGCATGGTACATGTATACATTCACACACGGACACATGCATATACCCACCACATTCATGCACATGTGTGTGCATACCCTCGTAAGCACACGTGCATGCACACTTTCACACACAGGCACACGAATGCAGTCGGAACATGCACACCTGCCTGTGTGTGTGCTCCTGTCACACCCTAAAATGTACACATATACTCACACGCGTCCATACACACATGTACCTGTTCACACTCACGTGTGCACACATACATGTTCACAAGCACATGCGTCCATACATGCACAGACATGTTCAAGCATTTGCCTGCGTGTTCACCCACCCCAGTGTTATACTGTAGGTATGCACACAATGTGCACACACGTCCCTGGGCATCTTGTGCGCTTGTCATCAGCACAGCCACAACACCCCAATGGCAGGATGTAAATCAACCCGGCTTCTGATGACATCAGCTGCCTGGCCCAGCACACTCCAGCTGACCCCACGGCCGGCCTGTCTTGGGAGCCGTGAGGTGTCACAGGCTGCCTGGTGCTGGGCAGGAGTTCAGCCAGCTTGGAAGAAGCCGGTGCCTGACACTCCCTTCCTCACTGGCTGGGTGCCCACCCCCTGCACCTGTCGGGGTCTGTCCCACTCGGGCTCCCTGAGGCAGAGCTGGGCGTGGCTGGGGCTCCTCTCACCACAAGCTCAGGCCCCGGGCTGAGAGTGGACAGCAGTCCTGAGGACCACAACCTGGCTCCCCAGGCTGGGAGTGGACGGAAGTCCCGAGAACCCAAACTTTGTTCCACCTGCCTAAGAATCTGCCCTGGACGTCTGTGTTCAACGAGGGTGAACATCCTCCAGGGACGTGACCTTCATCGTCTCTCATTGAGGCAGCCGGCAGCCAGACTGGGTTGGGTCAGTGGGGGACCTGCAAACCCCTGTGGTCCCGCCCCTCCAAGAGAAGGGGGCCAAGGGGCCTGGCTACAGGCTTCTTCCTGGGGCTCTGGAACCCTGGTCTGCACCAGAGCGACTTCCCGGGATACCTCAGGTAGAAAGCCGCCATGCATCTGTGTGTCTGTGCATCTACGTCGGTGTGTCCATATGTCTGCTCATGTTCCAAAAGCATCTGTATGTCTGTGTGTCTGTATGTCTGCCCATGTTCCACATGCATCTTGTGTCTGTACATCTGAGTCTGTGTGTCGGTATGTCTGCTCAGATTCCACATGCATCTGTGTGTCTGTATTTGTGTAGGTGTGTCCATATGGCTGCCGATGGTCCACATTCTGTGTGAGCGTGTCTGTGTTGATACGCACAGGTGTCCGTGCATCCATCTGCCTGTATGTCGGTGCCCCTGCACATCTGCCATCCATCTGCGTGTCCATGCCCGTCTACTTGGGCATCGTCAGTCCGTGCCTGTGCATTTGTGCACCTGCATGCTTGTGTTTCCGTGTCTGTGAGTCTGCTGTTTGTGTCCGTGCACACGTGTGTCTGTACATGTCTGTCTGCATGTTTATCTCTGTATCTGTACGTGTGTGTGTGCATGGACCTGCGTCTCCACCTTCAGCCTCTGCAGACCCAGCAAGCTTTGAGAAATGTCCACTAATAAAGTGTAAACGGGTGGCTGGGCGGGATGCCCGTCTTGTCGCCTGCCCCTCCCTGTGGCCTGCGTGGGCAAATGAGCAAGTGACTTGTGAACTAACTGCCCAGCCCTGTCTGCAACCCGTTAACCGCTACTGGACACCTTGGCTCCTGTATCCCCTCCTGAGCAAACAAATGGTCCCGGCCCCAAGGACACGGCCTCTTCCCACTAAGGCAGCATGCAGAGTTTGGAGAGCCCAGGGGTCCTCCCACATGCTGGGGACACAAAGCCCCCACTGTTCCTCGCAGGGGCCCAGACAGCTTCGGACCAGTGCCCATGAGCATGCCTGTCCTCTGGAATGGGCAGGTCAGGCCAGGCCAGGCTGGGGCACGGTGGCAGGTCAGTGTGAGGCCTGCAGTGTCCCCAGTGCCCAAGGTCAGCGTCCTGTGGTACCCTGCATTCACCATGCCCAGACTCTTACTAACTTCACCCATGGACCAGGCCGCATTAAGAGGGGAAGTGGCAAGGCTGTGTCTCCACTCCACTTAGGCCCCATAATACCCCAGTGCATGGACCCGCTCCTGACCCAGGGCACCCACGGGGAGCACGAGGTGATACTGGAGAATGTGCTTCTCAGGTGGGTGCTGCTTGGAGCTGCAGGAGCTGCCACGTGTGTTCTGCCAGCACCCCAAGCTGGAGATGGTGCTGGTGGGATCGAGTGGTGTGGTCCCTTTCTTTCAAAGCTTCCTGACTGGTCTCCCAGGAAGTAAGCGTATGTGTGTGTGTGTGTGTGTGAGCGTGTGTGAGCCGGCATGTGCACATTTGTGTGTGTGTGTGTGAGTATGTACATGCACGTGTATATGTGAGCGTGCATATGTGCATGCGAGCCTGTGTGTGCATGTGAGTATATTCATGCGCGTGCATGAATGTGTGTGTGCAGGTGTATATGTTTGTGCATGTGTGCACACGAGCCTGTGTGTGTGTACATGTTTGTGTGTACTGTGCATGTGATGTATATTCATGTGTGTGTGTAAGCGTATGTGTGAGCATGAGCCTGCGTGTGCATGTGGACATGCACATTTGTTGGCATGTGTAAATGTGTGTGCATATGTGCACGTGAGCCTGTGTGTGCATGTACACATGTGCCTGTGAGTGTATTCATGTGCACGTGCACATTTGTTGGCATGTGTGTGCATGTGTAAGTGTGTGCATATGTGCATGTGAGCCTGCGTGTGCATGTACACGTGTGCCTGTGAGTGTATTCATGTGCACGTGCATGCATGCGTGTGCATACGTGAGTATGAGCCAGTGTGTGCATGTGCACATTTGTGGGCATGTGTGACTGTGTGTGCATGCATGTGGACGTGTGTACATGTGAGCCTGTATGGATGTTTGAACACGTGTGTGCAGGCATATACACATATGTGCGTGTGTGCTTGCCTATGTGCACACATCTGTGCATGTGAGTATACAGATGTGCACATGTGTGGGCATAGGAGTGCATGACCTCCATGACCCGCACCTCCTATCCTCTCTTACACACACATGCATGGACACACACACGAGCCTCCCTCTTCAGTTTAAACCACCCTACATGTAATGCTTTAGGTTAACAGGCTTGAGGCTTTGCCCACTAATGAGTGAAGACCAGATGAGCTGTGGAAAGATATCAAGAGTATCATCCAGGAAGAGTGTAAAAGGTCATTACAAAAACAGAAGAGGAAGAAAATGCCAAGATGGATGTCAGAAGAGACTCTGAATATTGCACTAGAGTGCTGAAAAAACAAAGGAAAGAAATTAAGAAATTAAGGAACTGAACAGAAGATTTCAAAGGGCGGCATGAAGAGCTCTGGTAGCCTAGTGGCAAGCTGTGCTGCAATCACAAAGGTGCACGGTTCGAATCCACCAGGTGCTCCGCTGGAGAAGGTGGAGTAACCTTTGCCAGTCAGAACCAATCCGACACCTACACACACACACACACACACACACACACACACACACACACACACACGGCAGCACAAAAAGACAACGCAAAGTGTTATAGTGAAATGTGCAAATAGATGGAGTCAGACAGTCAAAAGGGCTGAACTCGCCTGGCATTTCTTAAGCTGAAGGAGTTGAAGAACAAATTCAAGGCCTTGGGTTGCACAACTTAAGGATGCTTTGTTGTTGTTGTTATGTGCCGTCGAGTCGTTTGCGACTCATAGCAACTCTATGTACAACAGCCCTAAACCGTGCTCTAGCCTGTGCCAATCTCATTGCCCCTGACACACCCATCCC